CAACCCAGACCAATAGTGACTGGAGTAACCTCTTCTCTCACATGTCAAACCAACGCTCCTGGTATTGCAGAACCCGGTACTCCCACTCCCGGGAAGTTTGGCATGTGGTTCAGTCCATCGCCTCCAGATCCTGTGGTCGTCCAAGTCGGGCTGCGTAAATGCCGTCCACAACACTGCTGGCAAATGAGCTATCCAAGCGATATGTTCTCTCAATGAGCCAGGGTCTACTGTGGGGAGGCGTCCACGACCATGCTTGTTTCCATATGCAGTAGGGTGATTCCTGCAACCAGTCCGTGCCATACTGATTTTGCATGTCCAGACTCTCATCAAGAGGCACACTGTAGCTACGCAGGCCCATGCACAGGTGTTCGAGTCCCAACTGATACACCATGGTGTGCAGCGTGTCTGGCCACCTCCACCAGGCAGATCTAAGAGGGATTTTGTTGCAACCATGCTGGCAAAGGGCCATGGCGGTCCTAACATCACCGAAATGAAACAACTCCAAAGCTCCGAAGCTGAAAAAAGTGACAAAAGACAAGTGGACACTTCAGAACGCGTCGTTGCGAGCCGAGACGCTTAGTACTAGTACTAGTAGTAGTAGTAGTAGTAGTAGTAGTAGTAGTAGTAGGCGTAGGAGTAGGAGTAGGAGTAGGAGGAGGAGGAGCAGCAGCAGCAGCAGCAGCGGAAAAAGCAGCAGCAGCAGCAGCAGCAGCAGCAATAGCGGTGGCGATAGCACTAGCAGTAGCAGTAGCAGTCGCAGTAGCAGTAGCAGTCGCAGTAGCACTAGCACTAGAAGTAGCAGTAGTCGTAGCGGTAGCGGTAGCCGCAGCAGCAGCAGCCGCAGCAGCAGTAGCAGTAGCAAAAGGCAGTCTACTGCTAGAACTACTACTTGGGTACTTGTGGCACGGCAAAGGCTCCGGCGTACAGCCCATTGGAGATTTAGGCCTGCTGGCAATGATGCACATTGTCGCACACCAAACTTGTCACCACTTCAATCGTCAAATCGCTTTATGTCAAAGGCTCCAAGACAATTAATTGAGGTTGAAGGGATGAAACCGGCTAGCTGGACAACAGACCGATCAGCAAATTAGAGGTGAGCATCAGGTACAGCAAGAGCGAGTCAGCATGTGCACAAACAACACCCACTGGATGTGTCGATCAGGGCCTGATTTTGATGATGTTTTGCGTCCTGCAGGGGAGGCGAAGTCAAACGACGACTGCGATAGATTCGGAAAAAATCGCTCACCGTCCAACTCGCGATCAAGGTCCTCAAAAGGGACGGAAAGAAAACCCGTCTTGCCCGGACGCTACCCGGCCATCAAGCGTGAGCCCAGCTGGTTGCGGAGAGGCATGACATGAGGATGACTCGTATCGGGTCGGGTGGAGCTTGCTTCGTGTCGCAACTTTGCCTGACGCCTTCTCGTTCGGACAGCTACGACTGGTGCCCTGCTTCTGCCCATTGCCTCATTGACAACACTGATATGCCAGCGCCTGCTACTCCAAGCAGGCCAAGCTTGCAGCAAGCACCGTGGTTCAAATCGGAAACCACACCTCTCACTTCCTTGTCGCCCTGCAACGGTCCATAAGCTTCGAGTAAGCTCGTAGTGGAAAGCCCCGAAACGACCAGATTTGGATGTTAGGTGATGTCAAAGACCGCACCTAATTGCGAAAGCCCTTCACCAGCTCCCAAACTCCGAAAGCCTTGGACCCGAATCGCCAAGGGAACACTTCAATCGGACTTCTTGACGGATGCTTCGAGCTATGACTTGGCGGCCGACTTGTGCCGGTGCGAAGCATCGAAGGAAAGGCACGCGGTGGACGATTCTCGTCGCGTGGGACTCTGCGGGTCCTGACCTGGGAAACACCGGTTGCAGGCTGGGAGTCGAAGTCACGAGGTCACGAGGCGCCCTCCCTGTGATAGCTCGTTTGAGGTTCCTCTTCAACCATAGACACGCCGTGTCGATCCAGATCGAAGTCTGCAAGGTCCCCTTCGGAGCTGCTCGGGCAAAGACTCATCACTTGCAGCGAGGTGCTGCTCCCGTGCATTGGCGAAGCCAAAACGCCGAGAGACGAAGAGCGCCGAATGCCCTCACCCATGGAGGCAATAGAAACCAAAGAAGCACTCCGCGCTCGTGGTCGCGGCATAGGCGGGGACCCCGGTGGAGAGTTTAAGAGCGTTTCTCTGATCTTCCGCCTTTCCCGAAACTGCAACGCCGCACAAGCACAGGATGGGATGATGGTTACAGCTATGCATAGCACCAGCATAGGATTAAAGTTGTTCAGCGTCAGTAGGCTATAGTTGATCAACGGGTTCTGCACCAAGTTCACGAGACCTCCTGACAGAAAGCAAACACCTTGAATCTTGCCCATGTTCAAGACGCCGAAGTAGTGAGCGTTGAATTGCGGCACATTGCTGAAGAGAAATGCCCTGAAGATCGCAAACACACAGACTGTGAGAACCTGAAGCCACAAACTCGGAAGCAGTTGGAGGACGTTCACCACGACCCCCAAAGCATTGGTTATTTGCAGGGTCCCAACATTGCCAAACCGTCGTATGGAAGCCGTGATTGCCGGCACAGCCAGGAATCCCATAGGAATGATGAAGGAAACGAGCGTATTCACATGCAGAAGCTGCTCCGTGCTTTTCGTCTTTTCTGCGATCTCGGCATTTATGTCGTTGACGGAGCCGATGTAAAGATTCGAATGTGTTAGTTGGACAGTGCTGAACAACAAGACCGCGAGAAACTCCAAACTCTGCATCTGTTGGAGAAGCGTTTTTGTCTCTATGGATCCACCTGTCTGTTGTCTGGACTTGGCTTCTGCGCGAACTCGCTGCATCTCGGGCATGTTCATCTTCCAAGCTATAGGAAGCAAGATAAACAGGATAAGACCGAGGACTGCATAGCCTCCGAACACGGCCTCGTACTCTGCAACACTGTAAATGGCCCGTAGGACTGGGAAGACCAAACAACTTCCATCAAAGAGGACACTGGCAGTGGCAATTAGCAAAGCCGAGTGCGAGGGAAAAAGGAACCCGACAGAATAGCCACAGAATCGAATCAACGAGCCTCCAATCGCCACTCCTACAAGCATAGGAGGGAAAAGATCCACATGCCAGCTATGGAATGTGAACCTCAAGCATGCGATACCCGTGACGCTCAGAACACCTATGGTGCCGCCGACAATGATTGTCACCAGCGGCCCTGCTTTGTCAAGCAGAAGACCTCCTGGCAAAGAGGACAAACCGTACGCAGTACTCGCAAGTGTAAACGCAGCATTCAAGGCTGCTGTTTGTGCGTCGCAAGGTGGGCCAGCTTCACAACGCTCTGAGTAGAAGTTCTCTTTCACCAAGATCTGAGAGAGGGCTGTCCAGCCGAAGACAGTCCCAGAGAACAGGATGAGGCTCAGGAAGTTCAGGACCAGGAGAAACAGCTTGCGCCCCGGAACCGACATGGCAACTGGCTGGATGAAGGCTTGCTCTACACTACTGATTGTACTGATTCAAAGATGCACCCCGGCATGTGCACACCATTCCCTAGCATTTCCGCGATTTCCGAACTCGGGATCTCTAAGGCTGTGGGCCTGCGCAAGATCACTCGCCGGGACCCTGCTCCGTTCTGGCAGCAACGACAACAACGACCACCACCACAACCACAATCAAAAGAAGATAAACATAGAAACCAAAACCACCACCACAACGACCACGACTATGACCACAAACCACGATCATTTGGGTCACGGCCCTTGGAACAACGGGCATTGAAGCCGCGTCCCGCGATGCTATCGCGACTTACACCGTCTATGTGTGCCGGAAGCTTCGGCCCTCAAGGGCGCAAAGTCCTGATCATGCAACTGAAATGAAGACTTCTTTTCAACCGCAAGCTTGCACGCAGGAGTCTGACAGTCCAGATCTTAACGACGTCGGCGCTTCCGTGAGCACATGCATCAGCTGTATGGACCTCGTCCGCGAGGTACAGAGTCTGTTGAGAGTCAATTCCGACCTTTAGTGTGCATGCTACAGGGCTCGTGCGGATCAGAGCTGTGGCCTGCACATCCCAACCTTCGTGCGACCTCAAGAATCCCCAGATCCCCCTGAACCCTGAACTTTGGGAGCACAGATGAACCGATATCCAGTGAAGACGAAGATGAAGCTCCCGTCGTCAACCGAAGCCCCCCCCTTCGTGAAGGTCCCTGGATGCTGCCTGCCCCCCTTAAGCCCCCCCTTAAGCCCCCCCTTAGCCCCTTCGTCCTTGTTCTTCGAAGCCTTCGAAGCCTTCGTCCTCACCCTTCGAAGCTTTTGAAGTCTTGGACCCTTCACCCTCGAAGGCTTCCAAGGTTTCGAAGCCCCCTTCGCTGAAGGGTCCTCGGATGCAGCCCCAAAGGGCGGGGGGTTAAGGGGGGAACTTAAGGGGGGTTTCAGCCCTCCGCCCCGTCCCCCTTCAGAAGACACCGAGACGTCCGAGCTTCAAGCTCGTGGACCATCGGTGCTTCTTCTTACAACTCAGACAGTCGCAATCTCCCATTGCAAAATGAACACGTCCGAATGTCAGTGCAATTGTTCGTCTACCCACACATCATTGACTCTGTAAACGTAAATCTCACGACTTAGATTCTATTTCAGAATGCCCTCATTGGTTTAGCGCGACAACCGCAAGGAAACAAGACGAAACTCACCAAAGGTGATGGATTTTATTTTCATTGTGCAAGCAGCAAAGCGCGTCCATGCACCTGGGAGTGAAGACCTGGCACGTACCCTGCGAGCGTACTCCGGCGACTACTTCTACTACTGCTACTACTTCCTACTACTAGTACTACTACTACTACTACTACTACGACGATGACGACGACGACGATGACTACTACTACTACTACTACCACCACTACCACTACCACTACCACGACGACGACAAAGACGACTACTACTACTACTACTACTACTACTACTACTACCACTACCACTACCACTACCACTACCACTACCACTACCA